ACTATCACCACCTAATCATCAGCTTTACACTGTGTACCTGCCTTCTCTTTACCTTTACCTCCTGATTCATTCACATATTTGTTCCCTGTTGATAAACAGATTCATCAGGAACAAACTCTTCTTTTTTGGCAGCTCTCTCTTCTTCCCCACGTCATCCAAACAGGTTCAACAGTGAACCCGCCAACAGAGACGGGGCTTATAGAAGATGACCTCGCAGTTATGAAGTCTTTGAACTTTTCCAGTCTCTGCGGAGGCGCCGCAGCTAAAACATCCCAGACTGAAGAGTGTCTGTGATTTTAAATCTCGGGTCAAAATTAAGCCACGTCCCCCAGACTATTTGTGAGATTACTGCTGACCAGGAGGCAAAGCTAAAATCTGGTTTTAACATCTAAACCAGACAAAGGAAACCGCAAAGACATGCTGCTACATCCTCTGTCATTCTGGTTTTCATATGACTTTCTCCAAAATGAGACAGCATGAGGCACCAAGTTATGTTGTTCTGATGGTGTCTTGTGACATGTATTGTGACTTTTTTATTAATTTTCACACCTAATTTAAAAAATATATGTGGAAAGTTTAGAAAAATATGAGTTCGGGTAGGATGATCAGACCATTACCTCTCAATGTCCATCACAAGTATGGGGCTAGAGCCAAAAAGGGGATAAGCTTAGCATGACAGATTTCCAGAAACTCTAGAAAATGTCAGGTACCAAGTTTCTGAATAAACTCAGCAGTTCGCTTTTCACATGAAGAATGTAGCAGGGGATTGCCCTGGTCAGATGCGTTCAGATTTCCAGAACATTCAGGGGAGAGGTGGCGCTTGGGTATGGCATGAAAATGGCTGGACATAATGTATAAATCACGCCATTGGCCCTTATTGCAAAAAGCTCTGGAATTTCGCATTTTGAAGCTGACATCTTAGTTGGCATCCTCTACGCGTATAACACATCTTTTTCATTCATGAGATATATGTCTTCTCCCAGTTTTGTGCTTGCTGCATCATCACCCATTTGCTTACTGTGAATGATCCTGACTTTTCGAGGCTGTGCTGTCACGTGGGCTCTGACAGCTTCTGGACATTTTACTTGGTGGCTGGCAGGAAACCTTACAGAAAATGTCAGGAGTTAAGAAAATGTCTGGAAGCAGCTTTAGACTGGGAATTGGATCTTTTGTTTGATGTTTGGATATATTTCAACCTTTCCTTTCAGGTTTTCAATGTTTACAACACTGAGATAGTGCCAGCTCTTAAACAGTGACATCAGTACACGGCCAGAGCTTTAACCAGAGCGATTACAACAAAGACTTAAGGAAGCCTAACAGGAATGCAACCCTCCAGGCAATCTTGATAAGATTATACGCAAACTTAACACAAGAAATTACCACTGTGATCACAAACATAAACAAACACACGCAAACACACACACATTTCCCATAAGAGATTAGTGAAAGAGTAAGTGAGAGAGGGCAGGGGACAGAAAGAGCTCACCTTACCTCATAATGACTACTCTCACCTGTTCATCCCCTCACCTGGGGCAGGGATATCACTCTCCCTCTCTTGCTCCCTTTCTCGCTCCCTCTCTCGTTCCCTTTCTCACTCCCTCTCACCCCACCGCCCTCCCAGAGATGGCCAGATAAAGCAAGTCTTTCAGCCGGAGATGCTGCCACTGTGCGTCCCAGCTCTCTCTCCCCTGCAGCCCAGCCCGCCCTGCGGCCTGGCCCTGTAACCAATCCAGGTAAGCTTTCTGACGGGGGAAACTTTCTCACACTCTCACCTGCCAATCACACACCTCCTCGCTGTACAGGAGGAGGAAGAAAACACAAGGAAAGTGTGACAAACACGCATCATGCTTATATACACTCACACACACACACACACACACACACACACACACAAAAGCAAACTGTACACAGATAAGGGCAGATAATTGGCTCTGGGACAACGAGTCTCAAAGGTAAATGGGCTGATACTAATCAAGAAGCAGAAACCTAAGAAGACTCTGTATAACATTCTTGTGCATGCTGTGTGTGTGTGTACTCAGCTTTGTGGGGATACATTAGGAGTCGTGGATGACCAAGGGCCCAAGTGGTCAGGGAGCCCTTGGACCACAGCCTCTCTTTTTAGTCACTCTTAATGTATACTATAAAAAGTGATGCAATACAACTAAGAGCAGATGCAAAACTAAATCCAAGAGACGCAAAATGACTCAAAAGAGACGCAAAACGCTCAAAAGACGTGCATAACACTAAATATAGATGCAATACATCTAAGAAGAGATGCAACACAAATAAAAATGACTTACAAGCGATCTAAAATGACTACAGAGGGTGTCATGCTACATATGTAAAAAGGGGTGGGGGTCTTGCTCTTGTTTGTGCTCAGGGATCTATTATCTTAATGTAAGAAATATACGTGTGTCGCGCTCTGTGTGTACCTGAAGCATCATCTGGGTTTTGTGCGATATTACAAACATTATTACAACAGTGTGATTGCGAATGAGAACCACAGGCCCTTGTGTGGCATTTTCGTTTTTTCGTTGATTATTAGAAACAAGTCAGTCATGCTGGGAACAGATATAATGTAGAGAGGAGACAGAAAGAAAAGACTGCAGGAGGTTTTTTCTTTGATGGAAATAGAAAATCTAAGAAACAAACAAAAACCTCTTAAATCCCAAGAAAGATTGTCTCACCACAGGCAGCGCTGAGAAGAGGATAGAGCAGGATAAGCTTCCTCAAAATGATCATGAAAATATTACGCTGCAGCTTTTTGTAAATGACTTTGCTTCCTGGTTGTTGTAGGATGTAACTGAGGTGTTATACAAATATAGGTGTTAATCAACCACACAAACCCGACCAGACCTCTTTCCTGTCTCTCTTTCACCTGTCTCCATCCTGGGCTAATGAGTCACAAATTATAGTCCGAGTCCAGAGAGACGTGTGAGAGATTGTTGGTTAGATTTGGGGGCCTGAAGCCTTCTGGTGTCTGTTTCTAGTTTGACCAATCACGTAGGAGCAGGCTTTGGTTGTGTGGACACAGAACACGTTGACCAACATGCTTTTAGTTTTTTTTTGCATTCACAGGAAGATAATTATTAGAGACTGGCCGAAATGTCCTCTGGACCTAAACCCCCCTACAAAAAATATTTCAGTGGTTTGTGTGGAGACACGTTCGACTCGTGTGATAAAGAAAGTAGTCAGACTGTGAACAGTGTACGGTGAATGTAAGATGGAGTCTTTGCCTGCATGTCCGCTGCCTGAAGCCTCAATATATTAGCCGGTGCCACTTGAGGCTAATATGTCTTCAGACGATAGCTGATGGGCTTCGAGGTTGACTTATCCATAACCTCAACACCATCAGACCAACTGCTGACCTTTAGCTTCTTAAGGAGGAGGTAAGAGCTCTTCTAAATGACAGCATTTGTGTCACACTGACATTAAAGCTGCTCTGACCCTGTAAGGATTTCAGGTCTCAAATGAAACAAGGAGGACAACACTAAATCAATGGGTTCACATGATAGGCATCATTTCCTTTCCATTTTAGTGTAGATAACACTACAAAATCCTAGAATTTTCAAACCACTTTTATCTAATGAGTCCATAAAGTCAAAGACAACAAGCTTAGTATCAATAAAGACTGAGGAACCCCGCAAAGCTTTGTATTTGAGGGGCTGAACTGGTGGATCTTCATAAAACTCAAATTAAGCCAAGTATAGACAGACTGCCTGATTATTCGACTAATAGCTTAAGGTAAATTAAATAGATACGTTTATGGAACAATAAATCAAATACGCTAACAATCACTATCTAATTTGGTAAAGAAGCCAAAATTCCTAAATTCCTACTCACTACTGTTTTTTCTTTTGTTTCTCACCTTCTCCCTGCATGACTTGGTAAAAAGTAAAGAAAAAGAGAAATTAATCGATATCTGTTTCTTGGCCACTCTCGCTGACTGTTCTGCTAATTGCAGATGAATTGGTCTGCTCTTAAATAATGACATGAGACGGAGCAGCCGGCAGTGTGATGTTTGATCCAGACACTGATTTTTAAATAAAGAAATCAGTGAAAAGACCAAAAGCTATTAAAGGTGACACATTTTACCCTTTTGCTGTGTTTATTTGCAGTTTTGATGTCCATGAGAAGATATATTCCTGGTGCCAAAAATCCTCTCAGTGTCCATTAACATCTCATCTCTCTGGAGCATATTGTGTTGGTCTCTATTCCTCTCATCTAGCCAGGTCAACCTCAAGTAACAGATTAGATCCTACTTTACAGATGGAGATGGTCAGTAGCAATGAAATTCAGACTAAAATACATGTATCCTTTAGTCTCTCATATTGCTGTCCTGTGCAATGATATATTGGCTTCCTGTAGTTCAATGCAGCATTTCCTCTACAATTTTCTGTCTTGCAGCTCAAGTGACCGAATGACAACTTGGCATTGCATTATTAATAAAGTTAAAACAACAATAAAAAAGAAAGGTTGGATGGTGCGTACAGGTGGCATCGGAAATATTGTATTATTGTCACTTTAATAATCTTTGGACTCCTCAGATTTGTCTTGGGGATCCTCGGGGGAGTCTGACCATGACCGTTTCAGTTGGAACTGAAATCTTATCCGAAATTTCATTTCATAAAATAGTATTGATATTTTTGTGGTTATAGTTTTTGTTTGAGAAGTTAAAAACTGATATGAAACACAATAATAAAATGTTAATGTTCAATTTAGTCTGTGAACTACCTGAGCAGTGTGATATTGTGATAAAGCTGCCTGTACATCATAAATATGCTGTCGTTCCTGTAATTGTTTCCATGTCATCCCAGTCGATACTTTCACACACATACACTGAATGACTGAGGAAAGTGTAAAATCATGTGAACATGAAATCAGCCTCTGAAAGTCATTGTTATTCCACTCAAGCCTCACTTTGAGTGTACTGTTGTACTTCAAGCTTAGCCTGTTCCCTTGGTAACCATACTGATAACCAGCACTGCCCCTGTACTTACCGGCCAAGCGTATTTGAAGGGAATGACAATGTGTCCATTAGTCCCATCTTCTCCTCCTCTTCCTCCGTCGTGTCCTCCGTGGCGGAGCGACTGGGAGTTTCCACCCAGGATCCCTGTGCTGCCTGACCCGAAGGTGCAGGCTCCGGTTGAGATGACCCGGGCCTGGTACTCCTTGAGGCAGGCTAGGAAGAAAGTGTCACACGGGTCTCTGGCAGAGCAGCGCTGTCCCCCGCCGCTCTGGAGGTCGCAGCAGTCTCCGGTCTGCAGGAGACCGTGTGGGTTCTGGAAGTGGCGGATCTGAAGTTCGAACACCCCCGCGGCCCAAACAGCCTGAGCCCAGACAGAGAGGAAAGAGACAAGTGGTTACATCAGGTTCTCATTGGTACATAGTGATTCAAATCACCCAAAAATGTACAGACGAATTAAACGTAAAACACATTTATAATCCAGTCTGCACACTGAACACTTGTGTGACTTGGATATTATAAAAATGGCAGCCTTTGTCATAGAAAAAACAAAGTCTGATAAAAGAGTGGTTTCCATCTGAGACCGTAGGAGATACTAATTTAGTTTAGATGACCTAAAACTGAGCAGAATCATTTGCAGAAAGAACAAAACGTTCCAGGGATATAACTTTGAACAATAAAGCTGCAGGAGGACGGACACACAGACACACACACACACTAATGTATTTTTGGCCTTCAAACTTACCAACGAACAGTAATATTAGTCGCAAGTTGAATTGAAAAAAAACCCACTATAACCTAAAGTTTTTCTCTTTTTTCAGTAAGGAAGAAAATCCCCAGTTATCAATGTATAAACTGGAAAAGGAACCAGATCTCCACTGTGTGTGTGTGTGTGTGTGTGTGCAAGAAGGAGGTTCGTGAAGGAGGTTACGTCTTCATCCGTTTGTCTTTTTTGTGTGTTTGTTCGCAGCATTACACAAAAACTACTGGACGCAACTTGGTGTGGCTAGAAACCTGTGATCATCTCTCATCTTTCTTTCTTTACAACCACTCCCTTCTTATTTCTCTACTCCCAGGGGAAGGTGACACTGGGATCCTGCTCACGCTCCTTTTCTCTCCTCCTCCTTTTCCTCCCTTCTTTCTCTATGTGGGAACAAGCTGTAACCCTCCTGTCATTTCTCTTTCTGTGGCCATCAGCTCTTCTTTTGCATTGTTTCCATTCTGCTTTTCATCTGCCTCCTTTTCTTTTCTCTGTTTAAAGATGGATGGAGGACACACACACACACACACATACACACACACACACACACACACATACACATACACACACACACACACACACACACACNACACACACACACACACACACACACACACACACACACACACACACACACACACACACACACACACACAGTAGATTTAACAAGCCCCCCTGAGAGTCTCGGAGCAGCAGGGTCAGGTATGTGCCTGTGTGTGTGTGTGTGTGTGTGTGTGTCACTGTAGCTGACTGAGACAATGGATTTGGCTTCTTCCAACAACTGCAAACACAAAAAATAAACCACTGTTATCTCTGTTTGTCATGAAACTCCTGCTGGTGAATAAATCTGAATAATTCACAGCCACAAACATTAAACTAATGATCGCTCATTACTGTTGGTCCAAGAATCAGAAATGTGTGTCCCCTGCAGTGTGGTGCACTCAATCATGGACGGTAATCACCAAGACCAATGAGATCTCATGTGTCCGCCAGAATCTCAGTCGCCCCATTGTGTGTGGTTGTGTTGTCCCTCTGCTGCACCCTGTCCCAGAGAGGAGGGGGTGAGGCAGGAGGGGTAAGGGGGATGGAGGGGTGCAGGGAGGGTGGACTCATTGACATCAAAAGGCTTGTGGAGATACAGTGGCGCTCATCACTCTACATCCTCCTTTCTTCCTCTCCTACTCTCACTGCCTGAGCCATTCCCCACATACCAGCATTTCAGCGCTTCAGTCTGACCAGAGAGAGGGAGGGGGGAGAGGGGGAGAGAGGTCCCAGCCGAGGCTCAAACCGTCCCTGCAGTTGAGCTCTGGAAATTAAAGGTTCACTACACCCAAAACTCAAAGCTGGCTAAAGCCTGATGTTCATGGCTCAAGCACCTTAAATCTGTTAAACCGTGCAAGGCAGGTGAGACTCATGGTTTAAAAGAAGATAGAGCAAAAGTTCAAAACCAAAATAACCCATAGCAAAAGATAAAGAAATTTTTTTCCTGTCAAACAAAGTGCCGGAGGTGTCACCTGGTACCATATAATTCAAGGCTCAAGGCTCAACAGAAACAACTTCTTTCAAAAAAAATAAAAAATATTTACCTCCACAGTTTCACTAACAGTTTCTTTGTCCATAAGTATCAAATGTTATTACCTCTGTCAACATCAGTGGTTATTTGTGTGTTAGTCAGCAGCATTACACAAAAACTACTGGACAGATTACCATGAAGGATGTGAGAGGGGTCAGGAAAGAACTCATTAAATGTTGGTGCAGATCTGGATCAGGGAGCGGATCCATGGATGTTTTTTTCTCTTAACATAGGGAGATGTGGGTGTTTTTGACCCCTTCATAATTTTCCCAGGGAATAATTCAGGGATCTTGATGAAAACAATCAGGGAACTGATGAGTATGTGCAGCTTGATTGGATTTAATGGGAATGTTGGGCCATGGCTTAGGTATGTGATCTACTGAGTGCCATTCTACTTCTAGTTGGAAACACACTGATTGGGTTTGTCCAGTAAAAATGTTGTGGCACATGACCAAAAGGAATTTAATACGTTTTGATAGTTGATTTAGCATAGAAAATGTGTAAGAATTCCTCAAATGTAAAAAAAAAAAAACCTGTACAGATATCATGCTTTTTCTTGCTTTTTTTAATTGAATATCTTAGAACTTAGAATTTGTAAAATTTGCCAGTTGGGATGTGTGTCAGGCATTTTAATCTATTTTCTGACATTTCCAAAACCAAATAATGAAGTAATTTGACTGATTGTTAGTTGTAGCTCTGTGAGTCTCAGTATTGTGGTGAGTACAGTCAGTATCTCAACACTTCAGCAAGTCACAATGAAGCTGGATCCATCTGCAGGACCAAGCTATAGACAATAAGTACATTTTCTCTCTGATGGTGAAATTAAATTGACATATTTCCGGAAATTTAAATCATTTGAACTATTACAACTCTGACCGAAAACAATAAAATATGAGAAACTGTTGGGAGCTGTCTGAAGTTAAACTGTGATCTAATCTTATTTTGAAGATGTCATTTCAGTGTGACAGTGAATGCATTTTGCAACGCTGTATCAGTGTAGTGTATCTTTACACTGCATTGTGATGCTTGGGAGTGATGAACCTGGACATCATGTAGAGACTGTTGGACTTCATTTATGATTCACACTGTTCTAAGCAAGTTTACCCCTCTCCCCTGATGAGGACAGGCTCCTGACGTCTGCATTATAAATGGTCACCAGCAGAGGAACCTGAGTGTGTGCGTTTGACTCTGCAGTGCAGTCGAACGAGAGAACGGAGGGAGTGGAGTGTGTTGTTGTTCAGCTGTGAAGGGGTTGCAGAGGTGCAGCGAGAGACACGCAGAGCTGCCCGAACATTCAACATTCACACGCCCCCGAGTTTATTCGGCTGTGGCCCCCGAGCTCCACACACACCCAAGACACAGATGCTGGATATGAGTTCAGTGTTTTAAAAGCACACAAACACACACAGTCACACATGCACACTCTGGAGCACCTCAGGGCCTGTTCTTGCTTCTGCAGAATCCTGTCACACACCCTGATCAGACCTGCAGCTGCCTGACAGCTCACAGGAAATTTATTCTATCTTTGAATATTTTTCACCTCCAATATTTTGGTGTCATGAAGTCTGAAGCTTCTCAGGTTGCTATGAGAAAAATCATTCATACAAGTTATTGCACTGACTTTTGAACTCATTTGTGGCACTTTAACACAAAAACATTAAATCTGCATGTTGCCGTGAAGAGTCTTATTTCATTCTTGTTTCCTAAGACAGTAAAGTGCATTGGGTACCTTGAAAGTCATCATAGAGCTATTATTACTGTTACTACTACCACTAGTAGTAGTCACAGTAGTAGTAGGAGTAGTAGTAGTAGCAGTCACAGTAGTAGTAGCAGCAGTAGTAGTAGCAGTAGTAGTAGAGGAAGAAGAATAAGATCAAAATATCTGTCAATGCACCAGCAAGAAAAGATGTGGATGCTTAGAGATGCAGAAGCGATTCTTTATTAACCGAGAAGAATGAGGCTTGGATGCTGAGCAGAGGATGTGAGGTTGTTTAAATTTGTGTGATGTTTGACTGAAGATTCCCCACAGTGCCTTCCAAAGTATCCAGGGTTTTATTTAGCACTGAAATCCCTGAAATAAATCATGTGCAGCAGCTGTTTGCTTTTATCTCTGCTGGATTTCTATGTTTTCTGCTCCATTTCTTTCAACAGACAATGGTATTAACAACCGTGTTTTCTTGATAATGCAAAAAAAAAGCTCTACTGATCATATTTGCTGTGACGTGCTGTTAAAATAGGATTATAACAGTTCCTCTTTTGCGTGGGATCATAGATGAGCATGGTGAAACAACAGGTGGGCACAGCGCCATAGGAGCAGAATGAGGGCAGCACAAAGAGGAGAGGGACAGTGAATGAGTGTGTGTGTGTGTTGTGATATGAAACACACGCTGAACCACAGTGAAAAGTCAGCTTTCTCAGGTTTTAAGACCATGAGGCCCGAAATAGCACTTAATCGGTAGCTTACCTGCGGTTGTATCGTCAGCGCCACGAGGAAAACCACAGTCCGCTGCAGGTGGAGGTGTCCCCGGTGTCTGTCAGTCCTCATGGTGGTCTCTCCGCTCCGGTTTCTGGGTTCGAGTCTCGTTATCCCGTGCGCTCTCGGGCTCTCCATCACTGCGTCAAGGGGGTTGGGGGCTGTGCTGTGCGCTCTGGCTGCGGCGCCGGTGGTGAAGGTGGTGGTGCCCCCTTTCCTCGTCCCTCCCTGCGTCCGTCCGCCCGCCCAGCTCTCCTCCTTCTGCGGTCTTAAACCCTGAAACTCCCGCAGAGCCACTTCATCGCGTCCAGTTCAGAGAAACCATGACTAACCACTGTCTCCGCTTTGATTTATCCCCCACCCACCCACCTAACCACTACACACACACACACACCTGATCACCCCCTTGCTGCTGTGTCCAGGGTGGATTTCCACTGGGAATGACACAAAGACAAACACGGCACATAAACACACAACCCTTGCGCTGTATTCCCCGCGCCACCTGCGTTAAGAGGCTTTAAAGGTCCAATCTGCCGTTTCACTTGACTTGAACTCTCATCCCAATTAGCAGACACACTATCTCCTTCTTCTTATTATGTCTCTCTTCAAGCCTGATCCACGCACCAGCGTGGAAATCAATTAAAAACACAAACACCATCTACATTCACCCAGTATATTTCGTGGAAACGGCCACCGAAGTTGCGTCTCTTCTGCGTAATGGTTTTCTCTGTGCGCTCTGCCTCATCCAAGCGGCTGGCTCGCCATTTGTCAACCCGATACGAAGCCCGGCGGCGACAGAGTGAGTGTGGGAAACAATGAGAGAGAGGGAGAGAGGGAGAGAGAGAGAGAGAGAGAGAGAGAGAGAGAGAGAGAGAGAGAGAGAGAGAGAAAGGGAGCATGGAGGGTGTGTCCTGAGGCAGGGAATGTCCGTCTTTCAGCTCTTGTCCGGATGGTTCCCAGCGCGCACCAGACTCTCCCTCTCATGATCCCTCCCTCTCAGTCACACGCTAAACCACCTGTGGACCAACCCAAAGTTTTTTTGATTCTAAGTATGACACTTTTACGCACGGGAATATCCTGAATGCGCTTCGCTTCCCACCTCTGCTCTCTGGGTTTGCTATTTCCTTTCCACCTTTTTGTGGCACCTCGCCGGTCCCTCTCCTCTCCTCCAGTTTCACTTCAAAGCGCCGCTGTGCCAATTAAGCGCTTCCACGGTTTTGCTCGGGATCGAATGGCCTCTGGAAGTTTCTATAAGTATGCTTTGAAGCTACGGCTCTCCATCATTACAATACCGTTCGGCTCCGGATGATGCAATGGATGTTGTTTACCGAAAAAAACGTGATCGTCACATTAACATTTATGATGAATCTTGTTTGGACAGCTGCTGCGCGCACATGCCGCTGCTTACTGATGCAGGCATGAGCGCACGGACATAAAAGAGGATTGTAGGGTGCATGTAGGCATCTTTTAAATATTGGCACCGGTCTCATGGCATATTTTCCACATCTGACCTCCAGGGCTCGTCTGGTTGGACCCAAGACCTCCACACAATGTACCTTCTTTATGGGAAGAAATCTAATGAGATTCGACTTCTTCCCCTCCTTTCCCCCTCCTCCTCCTCCTCCTCCTCCAACTTGGGGTCTATCACAGTCTTGTTGCTCAAGAGCTTCCCTGACAACCGCTGGTGTTTCCTCGGCCTGGTGCTCTGCGCTGACCCCGGAGCAGAACAGAGGGCTCTTGAGGAGCACAGCGTTGATTTGCATAGAGGAGCAGTGACCTCCAAACATGAGCTGAATTCTAACCAACCATCCGGAAACACACATGCAGACATAGGTCCGCATGTGTGTGTGTGTGTGTGTGTGTGTGTGTGTGTGTGTGTGTGTGTGTGTGTGTGTGTGTGTNTGTGTGTGTGTGTGTGTGTGTGTGTGTGTGTGTGTGTGTGTGTGTGTGTGTGTGTGTGTGTGTGTGTTTCACCTGAGGAACAGCCACAAAAGTGGGGATATAAAGAATTGTGGCCCCTGCTCTCTGTGTCTCACTGCTGGGAGAGTTGTGTATTTGGCGCCATCTAACGGTCACAGGTTTCCTCCTGTGAACAAGTTATAGATATAAGACAAGGCAACACATTTCAACAACAAGGGCATTCCAAGTGCTTAACATAGAATATAAAGTGTATCAGGAGAAATTGAAAAAGCAGAATTAAGAAATACAAAGAGGCTTCTGAAAAGAAACGTAATTACACAGGGAATAGATGAATCAACAAAATAAGAAATAAAAGAGTGACAGTGCAGTGTAAGAAATTAGTAAATGTTTGATTTAAGAGAAAGCAGTGGTTGGACGAGTCACAGTTTTCACCAGATTCACGCAGAGCTTATTGGATGTGCTGACTTCACGGTTGGTGCAAATGTCAATAGACTCATAAACTGATGCCGGTTCAAATAGAAGTTGTCAGTTTTTTCTCCATGTGTAAATGTCGGTTAATGTAAATGTGTTCACCGCTGAAGTGTTGCATGAGTCTACACAGACGTGGTCTGGTGAAAAGGCACTGCTGGGATTTGAACCCAGGATCTCCTGTTTACTAGACAGGCGCTTTAACCAACTAAGCCACAGCGCCACCTACTTCAGCACCATGGGCGTCATTGTGTGGTCTGTCACATTCCATGCAAACAATAATAAATAGGTAAAAGTTTCACTGAACAACTATATTTATTTTACTTTCTATTTACACTTTTAGTATCTCAAAGGAAAAGTTCACCCAAAAATGAAAATTCACTCATTATCTACTCACCACTGTGCTGATGGAGGGGTGGGTGAAGTGTTTGAATCCACAAAACACTTTGGGACTTTCAAGCGTAAACAGCGTAGCAGCCAAGTCCAATAGAATTGAAGTAAATGGTGACCACTTCAAACGTAAAAAAACAACAGACAAAAACATAAAATGCCTCCATACTGCTCCTGCTGTGTCATCCAAATGTCCCCTAAGCCCTGATATTCACATTTGACTCGAAAGGGCTTCATTACACCATGTTTTTCATTTGAATGTCCACTGTAAACCACACGTGAAGGACATTTAGACTAAAAACTGTGTAAATAATGCAGTTTCCTTATTGCTTTAGAAACAAACAATGGTATAACCATCTGTGATTAATTAAGATGATAAACTTTTTTTTTATACAAAGCACTTTCTAAAAGAGGTTTACAAAGTGCTTCACTGACATTTAAACATGTTAATGCATGAGACAATGGATAAAACAGCTAATTCAAGCCATTTTACATGATTTACTTCATAAAAGAGGACACTGAGGTAATATGTCTCATTGACAAAGGACAGTTATTCTACAGTTGACAGTAGAAGCCCCACTACCACCTTCTGTCTCAAGTCTTACCCTGGGTATCTAGGTTAAAGAGGACAAGCAGGGGTGATGGTGATGAGGAGGTCTGCTATGCAAGGCAGCACAACCGCTCAGTGATGTAGAAACAAGGAATAACATTTTTAAATCAATAGGTAATCAATATGACACATGGCTGTTCTTCCCTCTAACTGTATGAGACCATTTACTCAGATGTGAATATTGTGTTTGGGATGATGGATCTCTCTGAAGCAACACAAACACAACTCCCATGTTTAACCCACAGGACTGAGTAGATGAAGTCCCTGCAACTGAACCTCACCGTGTCGCCGAATGGGACGGCACACACGGCGCCCCTGGTGTCTAAGGTCAGTGCTTTCTCAAGGCCAAATAGGGAAGTGTGGAGAGGCTTGGGGCAGTGCAGAAGAATGTGCATTTCTGTGTACACTGTTGAGCTGACCTGAAGACAATTACCCAGGGCACGGTTTAAGTAAACAACAGGGAGGCCGTGTGTGTGTTGGCCTCTGTTAATAGTGTGAGTCTAAATTAAGCTTTTCAGGCCTAATTCACACATCACTCGGCCCCGCTCTGATAAATCCAGCCTTTGAGGAGGGGGTCCCTATACTGGCATGTAATTACTCAGCAAACCAACAGTGTCTGAGAGGGGCCTGTGAGCATGTGCTGTAAAACATACTGTAGGTATTTACTAATTGGCAAATTGTGAGACAATGTGAACATGTGAGACATTGACACACTCAGGCATTCAGGAAATATTTGTTTCAACACCACATTTTCACATACAAAGCGCAGCCTATATACAGTATAATCAGCAGTTGAGGTACTTGAACTGTAGAGTATGGAAATGTCATATTACTTCAACACATTTTAAGGGAAAATTCATTTTTTTATTACTTCACATTATTCACCTGATGATATTAATCATTAACTACACTGAAAATAATGTTTATGTATAAGCATGTAAATAACAATGTAGATAATACAAGTCTAATTCCCAAAATATATCTGAACTTAGTCTCCTCTAATTAATCTTTATATATGTGTCCCTATGACAAATTAATTAACATTTATATCAGCCTACAACAGAATCAGTATTTCTACAGGTGCGTTTCCAACATTAAATATATAATTCAATTCTCATCATTTGAAGTAAGCAGCACCTGCATTTCTACCAAATGATTTGAAAAATGCAACAACAAAAAATTCTCTATTTTCTGAAATACATTCGGGGAAATAGCCTGAAAACAGACAGATGCAGGAAATGCTACAACTGTCTGAAAAGAAATGGAAGGCACAGTCGTTCAAGATGAGCCAGTTATGGATGTAATGAGTTAAAAAAATATATCTCTGTAGTTTATTGCAATGACCAAAGCACAAAGGCCAAATAAAGATAAAATGTTCAAGTATGAGCTGCGTACTTCCAAGCACAAATTGAATGAGAAGCCAATTAATTAAATTTAGATGTAGAAAGAGGATCTGTGTGGAGGCCCACTGATAGAAGATACAGGCTTCTCTCTAAGAAATACAGAGCTAATGGAATATTGTGGGTTTTTCCTGAGGACCAAGAATTTCATTTTCTACAGAACAATAGGTTGTGGAGAACATGGGCAGCCGGCAGTCTGACATCAGCATCCTGAGACCGATTTCAACCGAGAGCTTTTGTGGCCCCTTACATTTCCATCTCAAGCTCCACTGGAGACTAATACTGAAAACTGTTCAGATTATCTGTTTTATCGAAAGGACAGAGAGAAACACCATACTCTGAGGCACAAGTTACGTAAACCTGTAGGCTTACGTAGCAAATGGAACACCTCTGCATCGGCAAAAAACACATAGCTCCAGCAAAATGAACAATGCAGAGGAGGTGGTGTGCACTAGAAGTGGAAATCAACAAGAAATCCTTTTCTGTTTTGATGCAAAATAATTTACTATTTGAGGTGTTTAACACATCCATCACTTTACCCATGTACCCCTAAGCAACCTGAACATCAGGGGCAGTAGAAAGTAGCTTAATGGCACCAGCTACTGTCCTAAAAAGAAAAGAGGGAGAGCACAGTCTTAAACAAAAGTTTTAATTATAAAAAGGAAAACGCTCCAGGTACAATGTCTGGTGAACCAGACTCTGGGTGCAATGCTTCACGACAAACAGTTTTGAAAAAACAGCACAACACATCAAGCTGCATGTTGAGTATAAACCCAGACGTCAAACTTATCAATGAAGAGTTGAACAATAAAACATTTAAACTTGATGGTAATAAAGTATACTTACATGTTATCCTGGAAGAAAAAATAAAAACCTCACCACTTACTGTCCTAATCACCAGCGATATATTTGTATAAATGTTTATGTCGGGTCACTGCTGTTCATAGTTCTTAAAAAAGGCCGGTGTGTGTGCATGTTAGAAAATGACTGGTCCTGTGAGCTGTTATTTCTTTGCGAACGAGATCTTCATTGCATTCGTCTGTGTAATCTTAAAGCCCTGTAGTGCGTCTCGTGCAGCGCCAGCTTGCACTTCATTTTCAAACTCCACAAAGGCGATGTCGTGGCGTCCAGGAACAAGACGCACCTCCTTGAACCCCGGGAACCTGAACACACAACAACATATTCAGGTTTAGCCTTTAACGGTGTCAATGCAAATATGCAGATAATACGCAGACAATGAGTTGTTACTGACTGGTTGAAGAGCATGGAGAGCATGAGCTCGTTGGTCTCCTCTGGCAGGTTGGTGAGGAAGAGGATGTGATTGGGTGGATTTTCAGCGACCTGTGATGATAAAGGACAGTAGAGGTCAAAATATAACCAAAGAGCAAACTGGTAACTATTTATTTAAGGTAATGACAACATGCTAAGTGCGAAGAAAGGAGACACGCTACCTGCTGAGGCATTTGTCCAGGCATCTGTCCGGGCATCATCTGACCAGGAGGCATAGCACCAGGGGGCATCTGACCAGGTGCCATGCCTGGAGGAGGCATCATGCCTGGAGGGGGCATGTAGGGCGGCTGGCCTGGCATGTGCATCATGCGGGGCGCCTGGCTCATAGGAGGCATTCCCTAAAGAGTGAAGTACAAGAGTGATGAACAGTTCATTAGCTGTGCTAATGATCTCCACCTGAACCTGTTCGTACTATTCTAACTTTTGAGGGGCTGTATGTGTATGTGAGAAGAAAAATGTCTGAGCAAGTTGCTCCAGACATTCCAATTTTAATTCTACATACAGGCATGGCAGCAGGCACTCCAGCGACCATGGGCGCAGCAGCTCCTGCAACACCCTTCTTAGCTCCTGCTGCATCAGGTACTTTGGGCTTCTTCTTCTCTTTTTTGCGGTCACGCTCTACAAAGGTCCCCTTCATTTTCGCAATGATGTCTGAGTCCAGCTTGGCGTACTGGATACGCTGCAGGAGGAAAAGGTGAGTAAAGACCATGTGTCTTTCAGAAGCTATAGTTTCAAGACCTCTAAAAACCTTCCTATTACGACATAGAATGGAATTAATGACGATTTCAGCACCACTCACAGAATGAAAGACATGTTTAAACTTTAACAGATTAGTCATTGACAAGTCTTCAATGACAGTAGATACCCTGGCTTCATATAAGTTGTTTTACCTTTACTGCATTATGGTGATCTGTTCTTTATGAATGCAGGCGACAGGGGCTAAAGAAGTTGGATACTGTGTACCATAGTGCTTTGTGATTTACAATTGGCAATACACCACTACATTTTAAGCTAGTAGTAACTTACTATCTTTGTATGTCCACAGATATTCAAATTAGCAGGCTTATAAATATAAACCTAAACCAAAATCAACATGGCCTGCACGCTCACAATATTCTACAAATGTTGGTCCACAAAGTTCAAACAGAACTTTGTAAAAAATAGCTATTAAATAGTCCTGCCCCTCTTCCTGGAACAATCCACAGAAGGATCTGAAACTGTGAGAGTTGCTACTGTAGGGAATTGAAGAATATTTTAAAGAACTGAGAAAATGGTTAGTGTGGAAGCTCTTAACATTCTTATTGATATCCGCTTGAAAGATTGTACGTATGTGTAGTGTATGGAAGCTGTATGTGTTTATATAATGGAAGTAGTGATGTTCTGCTGCCCTCCTGATTTAAATGTCAGTACGATTTGAATCTGGTTTTATACAGGATGTCTAGAGCTCTCCTGTGATCTCGTACTTCCTGTGTGATGAACCTACCATGGGCTTGTCATAGAACGGGAATCCCTGCATGGATCTCAGAGCATTAGAGGCGCTGTTGATCTCTTTGAAGATGACGAAGGCCTGACCCTTCATCTTCAGGTTCTGTGCAACCAAGATGTCCAAAATCTGCCCAAACTGGGAGAAGATGGCGTACAGGGACTTTTTCAACTCTGCGGGGAAAGCACAAAGCGAGAGAACCAGGAGTTTGATTTAATAAGCTGAAACGGAACTGGACGAGAGAGCCTGGAGGATCAGTAACTCACCATCTTTCTTGATTTTCTCATTCAAGTTGTTGATGTAGATTGTATGGTTGAGCCGTACGTCCGCCGTGGCCATCTTCTAAGCTGCAGCGGAGTTTATAGATTAGTGCAAAACTTGAACAATCATTTTAAAGCAACATAAATCGCAGCTGTTGAACCGCGGAGCAAGTGACGAGCTAACGTTAGCAAACAACCCATGTAGCGTGGGGTGAACGTTAGCCTGCGAGCTAGCTGCTGCTGCTAACGTTACTCAAGTAAATATATCCATGTTTCATTCATAGCTGATTCGGCCGTTATCAGAAAACAAGCATGTAAGGTATATTTCTTTAACAGCTGGGCTGCGAAGGTTTTCTGCAAATAAATAAACACGATCTTTAACTCACCTCGAAACGATGAATGAAAAAGTCCCGGCCCTAACAAATCCCGTTCGCTGCTCTCGCGTTAAGAAAGGATGCAGACGTAATTTCCGGTGTTTCAGTCAATTCTGCGACCAATGAGATTCTTTTTTTCTAAATTACAGTTTTTTTCCATTTTTATTTTTTTAAATTTAATTTTTATCCAAATATATTTTTTATCATCACCTGCCTCCACAGCCTGTAGTTGAGAGTGCACATTTTACATCAACCTTACAGAACTTGGACCTTATACAGAGAGAGACACAATTTTGATGAAATAAATAATAAAACAATCATAATAATAATAGTTTCTACCACCAGGCCATCAGATTTCTAAACTTGTAGTCAACTCATGACTCTGCACATCTGTTTTTCTGTCTGTTAGCACTTTGAAATCAACACTCACCTCTAGAAAAATGTGAAATTTAAAAAAACTGAAAACTGATACACACACAATGCGATGACTATACATATATGTATGCAATAACGTATTCACACACACTCCATGCAGATAGAGTTGTTACCACATTTGCTCCAAATGTCACGCTGCTCCTTTGAATGTATATTGTTTTAAAAATGCATTGTATTTAACTTGAACTTGAAACTTGTTAAGAAAGTGCTAAGTTACTGTGTCAAATTTCAGCGTTATCATAATTTTGAACCCTGGGAATAGAATTTGTGTTGTTTTGTCCACAAATAACTGTACTTGTAGAACTGAAAGGCAATCTTGTTTCTGGGGGCAGGCCTTCTCAATAAAAATGATCTCTAAAACTAATTCAAAAAATAAAAAAATATTTCACAAAAAAATATCTATTTGATGCATAAAGCATATAAAACTGAACTAGTCAAGAACAGTACAGGTACCTCAAAACTGTATTTACGTATGATATATTTTATCATCAACCCGAAGTTTCACATTAATCTGTGTGTTGTACTATTCACCGAAAAATGTTTTTTTACTGTAGTTTGTACTCCTGCTCAGTAGGAGGCGGTAGTGCTCCACAAAGTTTGTCTTCAACCACAATAGAAACAGAAGAAGTGACGCTCAGGTGACGCCATCAGATCAGAAACTACAGAATTAGTGTCACGTCACAAGAAGGTGTAACATCTGGACGTTCTCCCTCTGGCTCCTGCAGCTGGAGAGTTAAGACTCTCAGGCATTGTTATCAAAGGTAACCGGATTCAAATGAGATCATCGCAGTGAAGAGTCGCTGCTGGTTCAGCAGCAGGAGACAGCACCTTTCAGAATCCCTCTTGTTTGTGTGTATTGTTCATATCCTCTGTAGATTAGTGTGTGATTATAAATATGCATCATAGATCAGAGCTGCACTGAAGCAGCAGGGAAGTCGTCATGTTCACGGAGACTCGTGGAGCGGACACTGGGACCAGAGACAGCTGGGATGGATCTTCATGTTGAGACTGGACCTCAGACTCTTCTTCAGTCCAGCGTCCCACTCTACTTCCTGCTTGAATCTACATCCACGAGTCCTCACCTGCACGTCGCCCTGAGGACTCACTGACCACATCCCCTTCCTTCACATCGTATTCATGTCCAGGTCTAGTCGGCGCTACAAGCCTCTGCTGCAGAGCAACGGCAGCGGCTCCTTCCCCGGCTGTGACCGGGTTCGAATGCCCCGGGCCCGGGTGCTGCTGCTGTGCCTGCTCGGGGTCCTGGTGCTGGCGGTGGTGCTGGGAGTGTATCTGTCCAACGACACCAGCATCGGACAAGTGAACCGTGTACCAGCCGCAGACCTGACCAAAGAGAGGGTAAGAGATATGACAGTAATCCATCCCCTGGTGCTTATAGTATTGTTTTACATTTAATTATTGTCTGCTATTGTCCTATTTATACTTGCACAAATACACCACAGAAAATCCCCTGTATAAGTAAACCTGCTTGGCAATGAAATCTGATTCTGACACAACAGGAGAAGATGCATTATTTAACTAATACAATGACATTACTCTGGTATTTCTATTACTTGATGCTTTATTACTTTTATAGTGTGCTTGTTTTACTCCCCTGCATTTATTTTACATAGTTCAGCAGTAACAGTATTCATTTAGTAACTTTACACTCACTGTAGATGCCTAAATGTGCTGTTTCCCATGATCACGTGTCTTATTACAGCAGTGACAGCTTCATTCAGATAGAGCCCAACATCACAGGGTAACGTTTGCCTCAAATTTATACATCAGCTCAGATTCTTTTCTTCATTTTTGACAGAAAATAGTAATACGTTCAGTCATACATCCCAGAGTGACGTATCTGAACAAGAGTCCAAGAGATCCAATCAACTTCTTTTATTAAGAAAGAGATTGTTTCCGCCCGACTCACAATATCAGCCTTTGATTGAGATGAGGACAAACTCCACAAAGTAAAACCTCAAACAGGGAAACAGAGGTTATGAAAAATGTTTAGAGGTTTATAAAGTTTATAATTTAAGGTAACAGAATGATAGCAACAGGTAAATAATGACTTTTAGAATTATTACTTTTAGTATTACATGGTTTTACTGAACCTCCTGTCTAATATTTACTTTACAGAACACATTCTCTTCCCACATCTACTTTATTTATCACTGATCTTGTTGTCTCTTCTCCAGTTGTCCCACAAACCCAGCAAATGCTCACCAGCTCAAATCCGCCGCCTGGCCTCTCAGGTGGATGGGACTCGTCTGTGGGAGACTCACCTGAGGCCCATCCTCATAGAGAGGCTGCCAGGGACACAGGGCCACCTGGCTGTACAGCAGGTTAGTGTGAAGCATTAATCATTTCCTTTTCAAAGAAATACACGTTTTCAAGTTTTTTCCCTCCCATATGCTTTAATCAAACCTCTCTTGTTCTGCTTCAGCACATCACCTCCACCCTGTCCTCCCTGTCTGCCGGCTGGTCTATCGACCTGGACTCCTTCAAGTCTCCGACCCCACGAGGCTCGGTCGCCTTCACCAACATAGTTGCCACTCTGGATCCTTCGGCCCCTCGCAGGCTGCTTCTGGTCTGTCACTACGACTCCAAGTTCCTGCCTCCAGACCCCCGTGACCCACAGAGGGTGTTTCTGGGGGCCAGTGACTCAGCAGTGCCTTGTGCTATGATCCTGGAGCTGGCCACTTCTCTGGATGCTCAGCTTAGATCTTTCAAACAACAGGTACGTGTGTTTTCTTTACATGTATGTTGACAGTTGGAGCAAATGTTGACTGATTAGTTTCCAATTAGTTCAATTGGTTGAAGATGACTCTTTCCTGTTTTTCTTCTCATGACAAAGAGTAAAGATCTAAAAGGCTGACAAGAGAATTTTATTTCTTTTTTGCCCTCATACCCTCATTTCTTCCCCCCGCCTGTGCAGCTGCAGTTTAGGATAGAAAATGCTGACTGTGGCCCATTCTATTGAGTGCAGCAGTCATCTGTGTACAGCAGTGTCTTTCCAGAGGCTGTGTTTTATCTAGTCACTGTAGAAATACACATACTTTGATACACACACTGCGACAACCCTGCAGAAAGAAAAATTGGATTCTGTTGCCACTTTCTGTGAAGTGTATTTTAATTTGATTCCCTGTCTTTTCTCAGAAACTTCCCGTCTCCCTTCAGCTTGTGTTCTTCGATGGTGAGGAGTCATTTGAGGAGTGGACAGCCACAGACTCACTGTACGGCTCCCGTCACCTGGCTGAGCGCATGGCCAACACGCCTCACCCTGCTGGCTTCTCACACACTACCATGCTCCATGCTGTGGTGAGCAAACCGTGTTTTACTCTACGCGTCCTCCACGATTGTCCTCTCACATCCTGATCCACACATGTGCTGAATTATAAATAACCAGGTTAAATTTAGCAGAACGGTTAGAGCTCACTCGTGTTTAATGGGCCCCATCACTCTTTGATTTTTCTCATGTAAGTCATGTAAATCAACATAATTGTTTTTAGTCCTATTATCAAGTAGCCACTTCCAAAGAGTGACTTCTCCTTTCTGACTTCCTCCTCTCTCCCTAGGACCTTTTTGTGCTGCTCGACCTGCTCGGAGGTCCTGATCCCCTGATTGCAAATCACTTTGATAACACAGCACGCTGGTTTGACCGTCTGATTGCTGCAGGTAACAACTGACTGTAAACTAAGTGACTTTAACTGTACAAGATCTAACGCTGCTCTTCATTCTCAGAGAAGAGACTCCATCGACAGGGTCTTTTGACGTCTCACCCCTCGGAGCAGACTTACTTTAGGAAGGATGTTTATCTCGGACCTGTCCAAGACGACCACATCCCCTTCCTTCACAAAGGTGAGTAAAAACTCTTGGGAGGTTTTCCTTCCACCCACTTTGGTCATTTTCTATCAAAGAAATATCACCAAAAAGTTTTAAGCTCGGTTTAGGTGTTGGTGTATTGAGAAAAACTGATCTGTGTGGAACAATACAGGGAAAACAAATCATTTGACAACTTACTAACTCCTAAAATGTGTATAACAGTAGTCAATGGAAATGTGTATAACCCAGGAGGCAGCCCAGGGGCTCCTCCTGGTATTTCTCGTTCATCTGCTTACTTTTACGTCTACTCCATCCCCATGGATGCCAACTGTCTAACTTGAGGTTGTATAAATATTTTGTCCAGCTAAAGATGTACTGGTCATAAAAAGCATATTAAGGATAGTACCTCTTCTACTATTAAGAAGTACCTAAGTAGTGCCTCTTACCCTCTCTCAGGTGTTGTACCATTACTATGTTAGAAAATGTTGCCATTTTATCTAGTTTTACTTTGAACATACATTATCCTGGAATCAAGCCATTTTATACATTGTGCTCTATGCGGGCCAGTCAATGTAATCCTGATTGCCACTATAAAACCTGTTACATAAGCCCGGGCTGCATGAGGGGTTGAGATTCTGATAGATTTTTTTAACACCAAGGGGTAATTTGTGCCCACTACCTTGCTATTTACAACATAGCAAATAAGGTGTAAAATACATTTATATACAATATTATATTGCATGAACTCCTTATATTGTAACCAATCACTCAATAACTCATCATTTGATATCATGACCTTATCATAAGTCCTGAAGTTCTTTCACTATTAATTTCATTTTATCATATTAATGTCAGGTTATCCATATACATTCTACTTATCCTTCCTCTCTCCTCTCCCTCCATCTTCCCAGGTGTCCCCGTGCTACACGTCATAGCCACTCCCTTCCCACAGTTCTGGCACACGTTGGACGACAATGAGCAGAACATGCACCGGCCCACCATCGAGAACCTGACCAAGATCATGGCTGTGTTTCTGGCTGAATACCTGGGCTTCTAAACACCAAGACATGAAGACCACTGATCATGTTTACCCTGCACTGGAGTACTCGTGCTTTTGTCACACTGGTTACGAATGAGTGACTCTGTGCATAAGAGGAGTCCCTAGTGAAATGAACTTAACTGAACTGAGATACCAGCTGAACTTTGCCAAAGTCTTGTCTCTGCTGAACTGTTTCCTTACTTTTAACATCATGGAGGAGTTGGAAACATAAAAAATTTAAGTATTAAAGTAATATTTAATTAGCTAAGATAAAATAATCCTTCAATGAGCATGGTGCCTAAGGAGCAGGAAATGTGTGTGTAATTTCACAAGCACTTTTGCTTTATTCCTATGGGAAAAAAAACCTAGCCATATGTTATTCACTACTTTAATGTCATGGAGATGCACTAATGTCTTCTTGAAGACACTCTAATGTGAGCTGCTGTGAACTCGGTGACGATGGTGAATGACGGCTAGAAGATATCTGTGAGTAAATCACTTCACTTTATCTTGATTGATGCTCTTGGCCTTACTACCTGCGGTTCTTACTGGAACTTTTGTGTCAGTTGAATGATATTAAACAACAAATGTTCGTTTACACCACATGAAAGGTGGAGACAAAAGTCTGCTATAAGGTTTAAATGCTTAAATCAGTTTCTGTGAGTATATTTGATGCAGCTTTGTGAAAAAAACACTGAAAGATTCTGCGCCTTGAAACATTCTGTAACTTCCGGAAAATGTCACCAGCGAAGTCTCGTCTTACTTTCCCTTGAACAACCTGAAACCACTTGGGCTTTACAGCACATCTGTGAACCGGTGTATTGAATTGAATCCACCCATATGACGCTTACTTTTAATGACCATCTTGTCCTGTGTTCTATATGTATATGAGTTAAGGTACAATTCTGCTGAGTCATGTTTTGGTAATAAAGCTTAATTTGCAAAGTGTTTTAATGGCACAATTCAAGAAGGAGACAACTGTATTGTAAGTATTAAAAACACATTGGACATGTGAACAGGTGACTCAGATGAAGCCTCCACACGTGGGATGTAGAGAAGGTGGTGGGTGAGAGAGGGGTGGAGGGGGAGGGCCTGGGGTGCTTGTGGTGCCAGGCAGAGTAAGGTGAATATCCGAGGAAGGGTAGGCTTCTCCTGAGGGTGCCCCACAGCCAGCTGCTTCTAAACTGAAGGAAGAAATGAGAAACACAAACCTGAGAGAGAATAGCACATATTTCATGATATCATAATATAACCACAAGAGGGTGCTATTATTCTGTGGAAAAACTGAATTGAAGCAAACAATTGTTCTTTCAGTTTGTAGATTGTTTGTGTAGATTATTGGGAGGGCAGGTTGAACTGGAAAGATGGTTATCTTGTATTTGCCTTACAGATAAACTGGTGGCATTTAAACACACACTAAACTACGTCCACTCTGTTTTCAAACAGGAGAAGCATTGAACGATTTTTGGATAAAATAATCAAATGATTATTGAGATAAACTGACAGATTGCTTATGATGAAATAAATACTTACTTGCTACTAAACTTCACTATAATTTTATGATGGACCAATATTACCATGCCTGAGGTTTTCTCTTTATTATTTACCTCCGCCATTGGGTTTTCCCCCCTGTCCGTTTGTTAGTTAGCAGCACAAAAACTACTGGACTTATTACAATGAAACTTGATGGAAGGATTGGATATTGGTTATGGAAGAACCCAATTTCTCTAACATCTCGAGATATGGACTTTCTTTCATTTCCCAGGGAATAATTCATGGATTTGGATGAAAAAATCCAGCATATTTAGGGGACTGATTTCTATTCTATTCTAGTTTGTGAAATTTGGTGCAGCTTGGCTGAATTTAAAGAGACTGTTGGGCCTTGATGGAAATATGCACACTGAGTGCCATTGATATTTAGTTTTACAAAGCTGAGGAAGCAATATTTAAGTCAATACTCATGTTGCCTCAAACATACAAGGTATTGTATGGGGACTTAAAAGTATTATTCATAAAATCATATTAATCGTATACCCAGTATCAGTATCAACGCTGCAAAGCAGCTATAATTATAGAGATGATAGATGAAAGATTCTAAGGTAAAGAAACAATTCGTACAATTTAGATGAAACACACTAGTGAAATAATCACTAGGATTATTTTATATTCAATTTCTGCCAATCAAATATATAAGTGCTGTAAAACTGTGCATACGAGTACTTGTGTAAATTTTGTGAATTTCCTTTCTGGCTCTTTCATTGATCGTTTGACAGCAAGCTTTAGACACCTGGCTATCTAGTACATTGTAGTTCACACTAAAAGGTTTAAACAGTTTGGTGTCAGACTTTGTCTACCTAAGAAGTTGGTTTCCTCTTCCTCCCAGATGGCGTGTGGTAGAGGAAACTTTTGTCTTACACGATACTTCCACACAGCTCCAGTGGTTGGCCCCACTGCCTCTCAGCCTGTGTATGTAGCGGGCTCGGAGCCAGAACTGCTGTAGCAGCGGGTGGCTGCATGGGGAGAAGGGGAAGCCCTCCAGCAGCATGCAGCGTTGCCCCTGGTAAAAGGCCACTGCAGTGGAGGCCTCAGCACACTTACAAGCTCCCCAGGGCAGGAGGAGGAAAAAGAGGCGGTGGAAAGGGAAGAGTGCGGAAGAAATCAGCCAGACGATCCATGCAACAGCTCTGTAGAAGGACCTCACACACAAAAAACACCTTTTCAACTGTGAAGGTCAGTTGTGGAAGCTGGAAGTCGTGAGATGTAAGCGGAACCAAAGGCTGTCACATGGGCTGTATCTCCGAAGAGCCCATGTGAGGCCTCTGTGGAGCTTTGTCTTGCATGTGTTTATTATAACTCATCATTTTCTCTGTAAAATGTAATCACATGTAATCTGGCACCATCAGGGTTATGAAAACACCCTATTCATCCCTCCCTCCTTCTCTGTGCACATACACACCCTCACACACATTCTGGCCCTTTGCAATTGTACCAGCATCAACCCACAGAGCAAGAGACAGTGTGGCGGTTACTCAGTGTGGACAGAAAACACATTTGTATAAAATGTTTTTACCTAAAACACATCACCATATTTTAAATGTTGTTTATTACAATATCGTATAATATAAAAAATAGAATGCATTTGAATACAAAACAAATTAGGAGAAAACAAAACCCTTGAACGACAGACACATGATCCCTTTCTTAACTTTAAAAAAAAGTCAATCAACATACAATATCTTTGGTTACATCTGGAGTCATAAACGTGATGTGACAGGAAGGAGAGTACAAAACGAATGCCACGCTACAAACACACAGGGCCACAGATGTGCATGTGCCCTCACTGGCTTTTACTGACATACTTTGGCAAGAAATGGCTCAAATAACCAAATGCAAGCTACAATCTTTTCATAAATGAAGAGCACATTTCCCTTTATCCTTAACTGATATAAATGATTAATAAAATTCACACTAAAATTGATTTGTCCATGCCATTTCACTATCTAACAAACAACTTTCAAATTTATAACTAGAGGGGGGGGGGGTAACCCATTTCATAATGACCTCAAAATCAATACCTGTAGTCTGAGATTGTGAAACCTCAGTTTGCACAACAATGTGACGTTCCGAGTGAAAATGAATATCATTTCCTATCATTTTCCCCAATGACTCCTTTTCTTTCTTTAAAACTAAAAAACAGATTGATACATGCTTTAAATAGATTAAATGTACAAAAGAGACAAACAACAGACATACCAATAATAAAAAAACAACAACACATAAGCCATTCCTGTAACTAGATGCAACACTGAAGTATATTTTTGTGTACCTTAATTGGCCAAAGATTTGACTGCTACCTGTGTTATGACAGTTGGAATCTCAGACAGGTTTAAACTGGAGCAATTCCATACGTTTACAACAGATTTCACTGATCCGTTTTCTGATTGACCTGTTCTTGGAATTAGAGATTACAATTTTCCATTTAAAAAGAAAAAAGGGCATTTCCAAGCTGACTATGATTTGCACCACTGTCATAACATCATGGCAACCCAGCGTAAACATTGTGTGAATGAAATGTGCAAAATATACAAAAAGAAGAGGAGACAGGTTTGACTGTACAACCAAAACTGTCACATTAGGATTTCACTACAGATCAAACTGTTACAGAAATGGACGTCAATTTTTTTTTTTTAAAACCACAAAGCTTTAAAATAAGGCACTTGTCAATATCAACAGATTTTGGATGCACGTGACAACAAGTGTCACTTAGTGGGGTCACAGCAAACCTTTTAGTGTAATGCTTCTTATAAAAGCTCAGTATTTCAAAGCTCCTTTTCACCTCCCAAGAGCACCAACCTTTTGACTCAGCCACTGTGTCACTTAGTGTCCTATAAAGTACTAAACTTGCATTGCATAGAGTATCAACCCTTTTATTTCCTGTGGCATATTTTTTACTAATGCAGAGCAGCGTCCTCAGTGGAAAACTGCATTTAGTCATTTAAAACGGTTTACTGATAAAATGGAAGTAGGCTTGCATGTGTAAAGGGGAGTTCCTGTATTTTTCAAACATGTTTTTCAAACATGTGGTGCATATATTCAAACTATGTTTGTAAATGTGGGTGTGTAAATAAATGATACTTACAAAAACCATAAATTTGGTGCAGTAGATTGTGTCTGCCTGCAGCCTGGCGGGAGTGGCCACAATGTAATCTAATGGGGCAACTGTTAAAGTCTAGGAAATATCCACTAAAAGTATTTTTTTCAGCCAATAAAGGGCTCAAATTGTTTTTCTGGGCCTTTGCTAAGAATCTGGCAACATTACACATGACTCACTTGAGGAGAGGTCTCCCTGTCAAGTCTCGTGAGACTTGAGTTGTTGCAGGAAGACGGACTGGAAACATTAGTGAGAGAGAGAGAAAGGGAGAGGAGATTAGATTTCACTGAGAGAAACTATAATGGCTGAATCTTTTTCTGACGTGAGCAATGTCGATGAAGCATTTGACTTTGATGGCCGTTGCTAGTGTTTGATCTGGAGTATACAGACTAACAGCTCCTACCAATCAAAGAGGTTAAAAAGAGAGGAGGTACGGGCAGGGGCACGGTTGCAACGGTACATGTGTAATGTTGAGCAAAAATCCAGAATAACAATTTTAAACTTTAATTGGTTAGTGTAGTTGACCTTTCATACCCAGGTTGAAAAATGCCAAAATCCCCCTTTAAACCTAGGCTTCAGTAACAAGTATGAATAAAACATTGTATCATCTTTGAGGATGAAATAGTTGAGGAAAACATATCTCGGCTGATTTACATAAGGCTCAACCAACTCAACTCACGTCTGCTTGTGAGGAATAAAATCTTCACCGAGTTCCTGGAGTGTGGGTAGAACAATGTGTTCAGGCTTCAAGCAACAAAAGAAAACCTAACTCCTGAACAGTCAGGAAAGTATTTCAAGACGTATCCCTCAGCCAGAGAGTCCTGTAAACTGTGTAGGTATTGTGTGGTGGATCCTCAGTGAACTACTTCCACTGCCAGAAAAAAACCCCAGGCATCTTTTTTTCTAGGGACAGCTGAACTTTGTACGCAGTTCAGAAAACTGCAGTGAAGAGTGGAGAGACTCTGCAGAGCTGTGATGTTTTGTATGATATTTGCACCAGGACCTGTAACTGGGTCAAGCAGACAAAAGTGTGTCTGAACCAGCAGATGAATATAATCACCATTTCACATCCATGTGACACAGAGCTGCAGAGGGTTTGTCTCAGAAGTGCCAGCAAAGACCTCTATGGTATCAGGGCCCCACTGAGAGAGAACCTCAGTATACTGTAAAACACATTTGTGTCTTTGAGGGTTAGACAATGTGAAATAAAATATTTCAGATCAATAAAATCACAAACAGCGGGGTCTGTAACCTTCTGTATGTTGAATCGTTTTTTGGTGCCGCATGGGGTTTCACAAGCCAAGCTCATCGTCTACAGGGACAGACTGGAGCTGAGTAAGAATCTTGGAGTCCCCATCCATTTCCTCTGGATTTCCGAGAGGTGAGCCGACTTCCACGTCCTGCTCCGGAGAGGGGCTTCCCAGAAGCAGCGACTCTCCTCCAGGGAGGCCTAACAGAGCCGGGTCTACGGGTAGGTCCCCCTTGCCGCGGACATCGAACAGAGTTAGACTTGCTGATGTGGAGAGGGGCACGGGACTCCACACCGGCTGGGGCAAGAGGGTGTTGGGTGTGATTCCACTGTACATGGGACTGAGGGTGAGCATGCTCTCTGGGGTGAGAGTGTTTGGCAGCGTGGGGGTGACGGAATGGTCCAGAGTATGAGGGGATGGAACGGCAGGTGTCTGGCTGGTTGCAGCCCCAGTCTCTGGAGCGTAATATGGAGGAGAGGAGTTGATGAAGTTCAGAGGAGATAATGTGAGGCCACTGGGAGTTTGTCCTGAGGTGGTGAGTGGCTGGGAGGACACAGGAGGGGTGGAAGGGGTGAGAGCGGGGCTCAATACATTAGTGGAGATGGTTGGAGCTTCTGCGACTGGTTTCAAGGGCAAGCTGGTGAGTTGAATGCCTGCGGGGATTGTCAGAATCAGCTTGCCTTGCTGGACACTCAGGTAGGGGCTTCCACCGAGGAGCAGGTTACCTGCAGATGTGACAAGTGTTAAGTTTACTCTCTCAAACAACAGGAGCACCAGTACAGAGCTTTTTACTGCTTTACTTATAGGCTGCAAATTAATTTACAGATCAGTACGAGTACAGTACAGACAAATGTCAAGCAATTATACTGTTGCCAAATATAGATCGAACATCTTGTTCCTTTCCACCATCACAAACATAAATGCATTAACTATTCAGTTATAACTATAACAACTAAAGTCCAAACCATTTTCAGATTTATTGCTGCTGTTGTTGCCCATTATACTATAACCTCCGAGAGTTCACGTCTTCACGCTGCTTGTTTGACCATTAGTCCAAATCAAAAGCTATTCAGGTTAATATCTTATGTGACAAAGGAAAACAAACATTTTGAAAATGATTTAAAAACCTGATCAATTATCACAACAGTTGCTGGTTAATCTTCTGCCAGTTTACTTATGGTTTCAGCTATGTTACATTTGCATGTATCCAATTAATTCAGTTTACCTGGAGCAGCAGAGGGCAGCTGGATGATCCCAGAGTTGAGGAGTTGCACACCTGGGGCCATGCTGGTTGGGGGACCCACGCTCTGAATGGGCCTCAGCTGGTTTATCCTAACAGGACCCTGCGCCATTGCCCCAGCAGCAGGGGCTGAAGTCAGGATCTGTAGGGGCACTCCAGCAGAGGGCATAGAGAGAGAAGAACAGGTAGGTACCACTTGGGGGAAAGAGAATGTGGGGGAGGCTTGGATGGAGGAGACAGGGACCAGCTGAGGCATGGAGAGCGGGACTAACTGTGTCGCTGTGGTGCCTTTGACTATTTGTGTTGGGGAGGAGATGGACATGACATGTGGGGCCTGGATTTTGAGGGGTGTGGAGTTTGTGATCTGGTCGCCCAGTTGGTGTGCGATCTGCTGTGGCAGCTGATTGTTGTTAAGCTGTGAGACAGAGACTATATTTCGGGCACCTTCGGGCAGAGTTGTTGAAGCATCCTGCTGATGCTGTACCAGTCTGTTTCCTGTGGTCGCCGTCAGGGGGCTTTGAAACAAAGGGGCTGATGAGGTGAGGGGTGATACTGGGACCAACTGAGGGCACTGAGACAACTGGGTTCCTGAAGAGTGCTGGACCAGCTGGGAGACAGGTATACCCTGGATGGAAGGCACAACCTGGGGCAGAGAGAAGACCTGAGGGATGGCGCTGTTGGAGGACACCACAGAGATAGAGGGATTTAACTGGGTGCTGGATAAAATGACCTTCTCCCTTGGCTGACTGGAGTAAGGCACAGCAGCACTGGAGATGACCAGGCCTGCAGACGACATAGAGGCTGGGAGGGCGAGGGACTCCTGGGGGTTCTGTGTTAAGACTAGTGAAGGGAGACTGCTTGGGGAGGACAGAGTTGGTGAAGAGGGAGATAAAGATGAAGAGGAGGAGGAAGATACTGTCTGGCTGCTGCCCTCTGAGTCATGCACATTGATGTAATCGATTTCATGACCACTCACTGTCTTGGTGTGAAGAGGAAGCGAGATGACAGATGGATGGTTTGATACTGGGGTGGTGTTAGTGCTGAGAACTGGAAGACTGCTTGTTTTGGTCTCCATGGCAGATACCTGCTCTGCCACAGAGGCCGTGTGATGTTGCTGCTGCACATCCAAACTGGATTTGGTTATGACTTGAGCCCCGTTCAGTATCAAAGGAGGGCTGGCTGTAACAGGACTCAGTGTGACTGTCTGGCAATCGCCCAAGCTCAGCCCGTTAATTATGACACCAGCGCCGGTGCTGGAGATCAGGGAATTCCCATTGAGCAGCAATGGCTGAGAGGGCGTGAGGAAGCCACTGGAGCCATTGAGGATGAGCTGGCCTCCCGTGCTGCAGGGGACTGCAGAGAGAGAGATGATGGACGCTGTGGAGACAGCAGCCTCCTCCGGTTTGTCGGGGGTGTCGTCCATGGCGCTCACCTCGTCATCGGTGCTGTGGTTTCCATCAGACTCACTGAAATGGAGGGGGAAAAAATTGGTCAAGTTTGAGCTCTTGACATTAGATGACAGAGCAATTATATGGTTTTTGATTTTTTTTTAATTCTTGACAATACAAATGTTTTACGGTCAATCTTAAACAAATAGTCTAAGACAACACTTCCAGGGACTCGACTTTACTCACAGTCTTAATGTAACATGCATTATTGAATCGGTTTAGATAACTGTACATGATTAGCCAACAGAATTAAGTGTCTGATAATTGAACAGAGTATCTGTGCACTGGATCTTAGCTCCTGATGCCCATTAGATAAAAAAAATACAAGGTCGCCACCATCAGGCTTAATCTTATAACACCATTTATGAGAAGTTTGTAAATCTGCATGAGGACTGAAAAGCACACTTTTATATGAAACCTAATTTGTATTTTGTTTTGCAGCTTAATAGATTTTTTTTTTTGTTTAGGATATTTAAGTGTATAATATCTTGCAGCATTTACTTTATTAACTCCTAAATTGTTGATATTTAAATGAAAAAGTAAAAATATTATATTTAATATTTTTCTCATCACGTCACACACGTCATCATCTGTCAGAATAACAATATTCTCAATATGCTCAATGAGTGCAGCCTGGCCAATTTTATTAGAAATACTAAATATTTAAATAATTGTTCAATATTTTAATGGTCACTTTAGAACTCATATTTAAATGTGACATTTTAGGTAATATTGGTCAAATGCTACCTTTTATTCAGCTAAGCTATTTTTACCTTGTTTATATATACACCATGTATCTAGTGATTAAACCATCGATTAATTATCTAGTGGGGGCCACAAGGGGACTGGAGCCAATCCCAGCCAACATAGGGCGAGGGGGGGGTACACCCTAGACAGATCTCCAGCGTATTGCAGGCCCAACATACAAAAACTAACAACCATTCAAATCTACGGACAATTATGAGTCACCAATTAACCTAACCCCTATCTTCATGTCTATGGAACATGCAAACTCCTGAAGTCCCTGGCTGAACTGGGATTCAAACCAGAAACATTCTTGTTGTGAGGGGACAGTGCTAACTATTGCATCACCACGCCACCAATACATTGTATCAGACTCTTTAAAGATGTCAACAAACTATTTATAGATTTTCACAAACTCCCTAGTTCCCTTCATGTGCCATGAATTATTTATTATCTGGGATAACACTGTCTCACAATGTTAAATAATCAACAAAAAGAAAAATCGTGGATCACCCAAAATTGAATGGGTTCTTCCCTGACCCATACTGCATCCTTCCACCAGGTTTCTTGAAAATCCATCAACTGATTTTTGTAGTCTTACTCACAAACAAACCAACAAACATGTAAACATCATTTCCATGACGGACGTAACAAACTGTTTTAAAAGAGAAATAGAAATTAAACATCTACGATTAGACTCAATTTAATAATCCAAGTTTTCTCCTGTGTGTTGAATAGATATATCAGTGGTTAACGTATGATAAATGCTGGCAACTGTTCATTGTCTCATCGTGCTCTTTACTTTCCTTTTACACTACTGCACATATTCTGCAGTGGATCGGCTTAAAACTTGTGCAGACACGAAGACAAAGCTGGACCAGATTTCTAGAAACTTAACTGAACTCAGTGTCTGTGTGTTAGAAAGTGTATCATGCTCCTCTCGCTGCAGACAAACCCTCCAGTCTGATAACACAGATCTGCTTTACTCTCTCCTATCACCTCAGACCTCAGACCCCCTCTGCTTGGAGAAATAATCACAGTAAAACTCAATGATATCAGCCTGTGTGTGTGTGTATGGGGGGGGGGTTCTTTCACCCCTCCACCTCCCCTAGAACATAAACTGGTTACTCTGTTTTTAACCTGGCTCTGCAGGCCCAGAGCAGAGGGTGCAGGCATTTCAGGAAACTTGAGCCATGTTGGGCGCCTGGATCTCACATTTCATAACAAAGCAACATGGCTCTTGGGTCTCAGACCTGTGTGGCTTCAGTGCTGTCAAAAACCCTCCTCTGTCCTCCTGGTCACTTTTATTTTTAGTTGTCTGTTTAATGTGTGCATGGAGCTGCAGTCAGAGCTGCCCTGTGTGGTGCTGGGCCTTGTTTACCAGGAAGATGTGTGAGGTTTCTGAATGATCCCTTGTTATGAAACACAAAGTAACACGTTATTCTAAAAAAAGAGGGGAGGTTAAACATGTGTCACGCTAGATTAGGACTTTGAAAACGGATTTAAAGTGAATCTGGATTCATGCAGCAGCGGATTTATGTTCCCAGTGCTCTTGCCTTTTGCTGTGGGTGCCGGACGGGGTCCTGTCCCTCTGCCTGCGGTTCTTGAACCAGTTGCTGACCTGTGTGAGGGACAGTCCGGTTACTTTGGCCAGATTCTTCTTCTCGTCCGGTGTGGGGTACCGGTTGTTCTTGTAGCAATCCTTCAGGGCGTTCCGGGACTTCTCCTTGAAGCAGTACACCGTCTCCTCTCCGTCCCAAATGGTTTTGGGTAAGGGGAACTTCTTTCTCAGCCGGTACTTGTCCACTGCGCCCAGGTTGCGGCCCCGGGACCTCTCCGCCTCCTTGTAGCGGGCTTTCAGGTACAGGTCCTGCAGGAAGCCGTGGTTGGACGCGTGGAAGTCGTGGCTCTCCAGGATGGCGTACAGCTCCTTGAACTCCTCCCGGTGGAAAGCCACCAGAGCCTGGGCCTTCAGCAGAGTCTCGTTGCCACGTAGCAGCTCGGACGAAGGAGGTATGGTGGAGAGAAACCTCCACAGGCGATCCACATTACCCGCCTGCAGGAGGGCCTCGCACAGACACGAGACCTGGTCCGTGGAAAAACTCAGAGCCGACTTCTGGAAACTTTGGAGCAGTTCTTCCGCAACTTGGACCGCGTCTTTCTCCGCTTTGGGCTCCGGGGCCGTCGGCTCCTCTGGGCTGTTTTCGGATTGTTCTGTGGGCTCCAAAGACAAGGAAGCCATTTTTACTTTAACTTTTTTTCCACCCGTAGTTCCTCCTCCTCCTCCTCCTCCTCCTCCTCTCTCTCTTTCTCTCCCAGTCTCCTGCAGATACCAGGGTCTGTGACCAGCAGCCGCCACGCCCATTCACCCTAACTCATATTTTCGTCAAAAGTCCAACTTAGTTATAAAATAAGAAAATGAAATAAACACATTTATTATTATACATCTCGTTTTTACACCTTTTTCCTCTGTAACATTGTTTTATTTCTATATCTGCGTCCTAAAGCGGTGTGATCTTTAAGTTAACTTGTTAATTATTGATTTGATTTTTAACTGTTTCCTACATGGTTTCCATTTTTAACTTTTGAAGCAGGGTGCTTTAAAAGTGTGCCATGTAAATTAGGTTTGTTATTGCTTAAATGTATCCCATAAATTACTTCATATAACACTTCTCACATCTGCTGTTGGATAAAACTAGTTCCATGGAAATATTTGTGTGTTTATTTATTTAATACATTTTATTGTTGTTTTGTGAATACATGTGTGCCATACAAGTGTAATATTATTGTTATTATTATTGACAATATCCTATAGAGCCCATAGCAATGCACTTGTGGTAAAGATGAAATGGCCGGACAACTTCAGAAAATAAAGGATTAACCTTGATTATTTTCTCTCTTTTAAAATATCAAAAACTGACAGCTTACATTTCTGTGTCCAGGCCTTGACCTGAACATCACAGATTCATAACTGTGAGTCACAAAGAAATGGGTATGGTCGTTAAGATGTAATAAAATATATGAACTGCAGATGAGGAGTGAAGGAGGACAAATAGGGTTGCAGAGCTGCACCTCCATCAAAAACCAAAGGTAGTTCTATGGGCTTGTCTGAGGCCCTGTTCAGCTTTTCCCTGGCTGATTTGTGGTTGAGACTCTCTACATAGTTTGATCTTCTTTCTTTTTCTGCCCACACATGCTGTTATCTGTGATCTGTTCCATGTGGTCGTTGAATACTTAAGTTTTACCACATGTCCACTATCAAGAAAAGGCTTGTTTTTATGGGGAGTTTTTTATCAAGCAGGAGGAGGA